ACCTCTTTTCGAGCCCCTATTCTTTACATGTAAAATAAACCTTATAACCCCTCTGTTTTATTCAACAGCTTTTCTGCCAAAACCTCCTTAGTACCCATCTATTTTATGGTATTTAATAATGTTAGTTCCATATATGTATTACCTCGCTAAAATGCAAACATTTGAAATGTACAACTCTAAGAGAAAAGATTCTCACAATTTTTTTTCGTATAATGTTTTACTTTTTTTTTTCTGTTTTCAAGTCTGTTTGTCACCTTGAACTTAATATGTGAACACTTGTAAGGAATCTGTTTACCCATATACGAAATCACCACAGCAAACCCCCCCCCCCCAAGCACGTGACTCGAAAACACCAAACCTACCCGCCCCAACTCAGCTGCTGACATAACAAGTTTTGTTTACTGACGCAGACTATAGTTCATAACTCCTCTCCCCCCCCCCCCCCCCCAAACACCATTTTTCTCATTTCTTTTTCCTGAACTGGTTGTTTTACTTACAACAACAGGTATGAACATATGTGAACTCACTTAAGAGAACATTGGTAATAAATAGTTGACCTTTAAAAGAAACGTCCACTGTAACTCCACACCCCAGCACTCGACAAGAACACAACATCCTACCTGCCCCTGCTCAGCCACTGACATTAAAAGTTGTGTTTACTTACACAGGCAATAGTTCATGACCCCCCCCCCTTCTATCCACTCATCCCATGTGGAAAATCACGCATAACGCACCCACCCCTCTTCAAATCTTTACCCCGCTAGACAACTGTCCCTACGACAATTATTCTTTTCTCACCTCCGTAGTATGGAGAAAAAGTGGTCCAGTGGCAGAGAACTGGACTGCTAACCCGTAAGTCCCAAGTTCAATCTGGATCAAATAAGATTAACGACCCCGAGTCCATCTAACTACATACACCAGAGCTTTATATATGTACTACCTTAATGAAATGAAAGCTTTTTTTTTGTTTTCCTTTTTTTCTTTTTCCCACACATATGATTCATTTATTTATTTACTAAAAGAAAAGTTAAAGAAGACACTGTAAATAAATTGTATCTCTTTTTTTTCGCTTCTTGTATATAACTAAAAAAAACGCAAATCAGCGTACTGTAAAAATGTTTTATTCCCACCTTCTTCCTGTATATAAATTCATTCAAATTTATGTAAACAATGTCACTATAAATATGTTGTATTTTGTTTTATGGAAAATAAAATTATTTAAAAAAAAAAAAAATAAATAAAATGGCACGTACGAAGCAAACAATGCCTGCATTGTAACAATCTGATCAAAAGCAGAGGAGCAATAAAGCACCACGTACTAAAACACCCAGACACCGCCGTCTTCCAGTGTGGATACTGCCTAACAAGTCTATACACCAAATACGACATAGAAAAACACCTCAACGACCAGCACCCCGACAACGACCCCTGCCATAATCAAATATTCTACATCCTCAACCCAGACAGATCCATTTCTTACATATATGCAGACGACAGAACATAAACAGCGAGAAGGACAACTCTTCAAATATGACACGCTGTACTCACCACTTAAACGAGTTTTGTCAATCCCTCCTCATCCGGATTCCAACACTTTCATTTTACTTTAACCCCTTTTACTGATTATCCCTTAAAATTTTGTATAACAACATACATAACAACATATATAACAACATATATAATAACAATGCACATACTTATTATTAATACGTTCATAAAAAAGAGGTTTCATTAGATGATCAAAGTTAATAAAAAAAAGAAAAAAAAATGTATACATTTGTAAATTCATCTTGATATGTTTTTCTTTTAAATAAGAACATTTGAAAACAATGTAAAATAGTTTGATGTTGTTGCACTTGTTTTAAATTGCAAATAAAAGTATCAAAAAATAAATAAATTAAAAAAAAGTGTATTTAGATTTTGGGCTTCTCGGCCTTTTTGCTAAGATCAAAATGTAGTATCTGTTATGGATCTACATAAATTCTAGCCATTTGGTTGGTCAGCAATTTTTAGGGCTGGCTGCCGGTGTCGAGAGGCGGTCAAATCTACTACTCTAACTCAAGCAAATCTCGCCAACGACCGCTGTGGGGTTGTTCCCACACATCCCTCGAAGCGCACATGCCCTCGAGATGAGTCACCCAGTACTTGTATTGGGTGGCTTCAAATGTACGAGTGGCTAACTTTCAATTTTTTATTTTTCAGCCTGACGACACCCATCTAGGAGATATCTTAGGTGGGAGGTCCGTCACAAATACCAGGAAATCAACTAACCATCTCGCAAAGATCAAATACGCAATTAGTTCACTACCAATATTTTCACGACGACCCCCCCCCCCCCCCACACTAGGAGAAATCCTAGGTGGGAGGTTCCGTCACAGCCACCATCAAGTCAACTCGACATCCCTCAAAGCGCAACTACTCAAAATACTACACGATTAGCTGTTAAATCTAGACTTTGGGCACATATAACTGTCTAATCTAGACTTTGGGCACATGTAACTGTCTAATCTAGACTTTGAGCACATGTAACTGTCTAATCTAGACTTTGGGCACATGTAACTGTCTAATCTAGACTTTGGGCACATGTAAATGTCTAATCTAGACTTTGAGCACATGTAACTGTCTAATCTAGACTTTGGGCACATGTAACTGTCTAATCTAGACTTTGGGCACATGTAACTGTCAAATCTAGACTTTGGGCACATGTAACTGTCTAATCTAGACTTTGAGCACATGTAACTGTCTAATCTAGACTTTGGGCACATGTAACTGTCTAATCTAGACTTTGGGCACATGTAAATGTCTAATCTAGACTTTGAGCACATGTAACTGTCTAATCTAGACTTTGGGCACATGTAACTGTCTAATCTAGACTTTGGGCGCATGTAACTGTCAAATCTAGACTTTGTGCACATGTAACTGTCTAATCTAGACTTTGGGCACATGTAACTGTCTAATCTAGACTTTGGGCACATGTAACTGTCTAATCTAGACTTTGGGCACATGTAACTGTCTAATCTAGACTTTGGGCACATATAACTGTCAAATCTAGACTTTGGCACATGTAACTGTCTAACCTAGACTTTGGGCACATGTAACTGTCTAATCTAGACTTTGGGCACATGTAACTGTCTAATCTAGACTTTGGGCACATGTAACTGTCTAATCTAGACTTTGGGCACATGCAACTGTCTAATCTAGACTTTGGGTACATGTAACTGTCTAATCTAGACTTTGGGCACATGTAACTGTCTAATCTAGACTTTGGGCACATGTAACTGTCTAATCTAGACTTTGGGCACATGTAACTGTCTAATCTAGACTTTGAGCACATGTAACTGTCAAATCTAGACTTTGGGCACATTTAACTGTCTAATCTAGACTTTAGGCACATGTAACTGTCTAATCTAGACTTTGGGCACATGTAACTGTCTAATCTAGACTTTGGGCACATGTAACTGTCTAATCTAGACTTTGGGCACATGTAACTGTCTAATCTAGACTTTGGGCACATGTAACTGTCTAATCTAGACTTTGGGCACATGTAACTGTCAAATCTAGACTTTGGGCACATGTAACTGTCTAATCTAGACTTTGGGCACAAATACCAGCTAATCAACTCAACATCTGTCAAAGATCAACTACGCAAAACTCTCTCATCTGCGATACACAGTTAGTTCGATATCAACAATTTTACGATTACTCTGACGACACCCACCTAGGAGAAATCTTTGGTAGGATTCTCCGTCAAATACCATCAACTTGACATCCCTCAAAGATCAACTACTCAAACAACTTCACGATTACTCATCTCTCATAAAATAAACGCTCGTCAACAGCCTCACTTCGCCCATTTCAACTACTCGACCAAGCTTTCGACTACTTCACCACTCTCAAATTCTTCTCATCCACAATCCTCGACACAGCAATATCACAAAAATAAACATTCATCAAAAACATTATTTCGCCCACTTCAACTACTTGACTACGCAAGAGAACCCTACGATACAAGTTCACTCTCTCTCAAACTGTCACATGATCCGGAGGTTGATTAAACCACACCCAGAAGGACAACTCCATCCCCCCCCCCTTCCCACTAATCCAAACACCCCCACTCAACTTACCAACAGTAAGCCCAATCACACTTAGATTTATTTATATATACACACTCTAATGATTTCCTTAGTCTACACTACAACACCACATAATCATTTCTCCCACACTAAATTCTCCCACACTAAATTCTCGCATACTGAATTCTCTCACACTAAATTCTCGCACACAAAAATCTCCCACACTAAATTATCCCCCACTAAATGCTCTCACACTAAATTATGCCCACTAAATTCTCCCAAAATAAATTCTCCAAAACTAAAAATCTCTCAAATCTAAACTCGATGCAAAAATAGTCTCCACCAAAAATTGCCCAAACATTCAATTCCCCCATACTAGATTCGATCACATACTTCCCCCATCCCCCACCCCACTTGAAACTAAACATTGACACAGAATATTAGTGTTAGTCCCGAGAGTGCAGCAAGGTATAACACAGTTTACAGCGGTTTGCTGTCGTCTTCTGTTTCTGTCAAAATGTCTCGCGCGTAGAAGTTTTTAAGTCAGGGGAAAAAAACAAACAATAATTTTTTAAAGGGAGGTAATTATAAAATTAAACGATAGAAAGAAAAGAAAAAAGCTTTAATATATATTGAAACAAAAACAAGTAAACAAACGTTAAAATTAATTATAAAAAAATAAATTACAACAAAAATATCTTAAAAATTGGTGATTAATAACAAAATGTTAATTACAACTCCTTGTAATTGTTAGCTTTTAATTCAAAAATTAGTAGTCACTAGTATTAACCAGCAATAATATTAATACCAAGAAGATTATTTAGCGAAGTTAATCATCACTATAGGAAGAGCGTGTTCTTATATCTGCGTATTTACTGAAGTCTTGGCCTTTTGTCCAAGATCGATATACTATTTCAACATCCCACAATGACATCACCTCGCATGTCATACGCAGATATAACCAACGTCAACAAAGGGGTTGCGCCCTTGGATGTTCCCCCTGGGCCGAGAGACTTGGGGAGGAGCCACCCGGACTACGGTTCGGGTGGTTTAATGAAATCCAGGGCCCAACCCTTTTCAGCCACTACCGCAATATTGGATCTACCTGAAGAAGACTGCCCGGAACTTTTCCCTGCTGACTCACCCACTATCCAGGTCACAATCAACTCAAAAGGTCATCCCAATCTGAGGGGTCATATCCTTCGCCAACCGATAAGCGATCAACAGATCTTCCTCCTTAACTACGGTCGTGCAGACACTTGGTTCTTTACATCAACTGCCTTCGACGTCACCACTCTACATAATAATACACACAAAACATACGGCCCATATACGCTACACTTCACATTACACGAAAAGGACAGAATAAACGGAACCCTTAGATGGGTCCCACCCACACTCAGCGATCGCACACTCATACAAGCACTACAGCCTTACAGCAACAAAGAACCCTCCATAAACGCAATCCCTCTCACCACCAACCGCAGCTTCCCCATATACACTGACAACCCATCAACCATCCCTCACTACATTCAAATAAACTACAAAAACAAGTCACTCAACATTCTAATAGCCATCAACGACAGAAAACAAGCCTGCCAAACATGCTCGTCAACTGAACACTGGACCAACCGCTGTCAAACGCTCAACTTACAAACAACGCCCAGTAATCAAACACCAGCACAATCTACACTACAAAAAACAACGTCACCCGCCCAGACAGCACCAGCGCAAACAATCGCCAAGCCACCTCCAACAACAAGCAGCCAACAAGAAACGCCATCCGCCCAGCCAGCACCATCACCAAGCAACCAACAAACAACGCTCAAGAAACCGATCAACCCATCCAAACCGCCAAGTTTATCAACAACACCCAGCAAACAAACAAGCGCAGCAAGGCCGGAACCAGACAAACCATCTGCATCAACAGCCCTAAAAACGAACACTCTGCTCTCGTTCTCGTTCTCAGATATGGACATTACTACAAATTTCAAAAGGAAGAAGGAAGATAGTCCTACAGAAGAAAAGAAAATAACAAAAAGTAAAAAATTATTTCATGACTTCAAACACTGCAGGTTCTGCTTAGAATAATGTAGATCATCCAGGGAAAGGGAAAAGCACGAACGAGAAATCCACTACAGATGCTTACAGTGTGATCTTTGTGCAGACAAAGGGCTCTACCCAGACATAAACAAACACTTTGCAGAAAACCATCAAGAAGTAACGATGTATGACTGTAGAGATTGTAACTTATCCCTCCCACTAGAGAGCATGAGGGCACATACAAGTGTACACCATAAGAAAAAATAGGTATCTCAGACGTTTTGTAAACGCTTATGTATAATTGAATGCAATGCCATGTATTGAACTATTTTAATATTTCATGTATATAATCATGCAACCTTCTCTTACTGCCTACCTGCGCGGAAAGGGTAGACAGTAAGTAAGGAAAACTATTAAACGCAAAAAAAAAAAAAAAGTGAAGCTTCTATATACTCTTTTGTAATCCTCGATTACAAACAAACATACATACATCTCACCTCATTTTCACCAATGTCATCCTCCAAGACGACATTTGAAAAAATTGTCACCGCCAGCAAAGGATTGCTCCCTTGGATGTTCCACCAGGTCGAGAGACATGTGGAGGAGCCACCCGGACTAAATTCTCCCACACTAAATTCTCCCACACTAAATTCTCCCACACTAAATTCTCTCACACTAAATTATTCCACACTAAAAATCTCCCAAATCTAAACACGATACAAAAAATCGTCTCCACCAAGTGTAACACAGTTCACAGCGGTTTGCTCTCGTCTTTTGTTTGTGGCAAAATATCTCGCACGTGGAACTTTTTTGTCAGGGGAGAAAACAAACAATATTTATTTTTCATGGGAGGTAATAATAAAATTGAACGATAAAACAAAATAAAAAAAAATATATAATATATTGAAACAAAAACAAGTAAACAAACATAAGTATTAATTATGAAAAATTTAATTACAAAAAAATAATTTAAAACTTTTGGTAATTAATAACAAAATGATAATTACATTTCCTAGTATTTGTTAGTTGTTAATCCAATAATTATTAGTCACTAGTACCAACCAGCTATAATATTAAAAGCAAAACATTTGTTTCAAAATTGATTTCCATTTGCTCTCAATCGTCTAATCCAGGGGTCACGTGCGGCTCGCGAGCCGCATGCGGCTCTTTTGATGTCAAGTTGCGGCTCTTCAGCTCCATGCACAAATAATTATTTTATTTTTATTTCCAAAACTCATAAAAATATTAGTCTGCAACACTCTGTAATAAACGACATAACAATAGTTATAAACAATAAACATTCACTATTCTATTAGAATATTTAGTTACTCCCTATCTCAGTGTACTTCCTATTACATCAGTTATTCCCAACCTTTTTCGAGTGGCGACCCCCTTTTATAAAAAGTAAGTGACCCGCGACCCCAATAGAATTAAAAAGCCGAAATTAGTATGGAAATTAATAAGCACTAAAATAAGATTTTCTAGTAGACTTTCAATATGAACTACTCTTGATAACTGTTTTAATAGCATGAGTAAAATTGCATACTTCTCCTAAACCATCGTGGTTAAGTTTTTCATTAAAAAAAATTTTTGTTAACGCCAACCTATGTCATTATAATTATCTCAATTTTGTTTTTAATCGAAGAATAGTTTTGAAAATATATTCTCGAAAAGTCAATCAATTTTACGTTTGGGTCTGAATGGTGAATACTACACCAAAATTGTGTCTGCAGTTTTTCATCTTACGCGTAATCATTCTGCAAATCTAAGAATTAATCTTGTCAGACACTAGCCCCAGCCCACCCCACTCAGGGAAAAATTATATGGGGCACCTGACAAACTGGAGACCACAGTCCGGTTTGTTCACGAAGTTGGACTTGTTGTCTGAATCCTCCACCATATTCACCATACAACGAAGAAGAAAAAGAAGAATCTTGTAAATCGTCGTAACATCAAGGGAAGAAGAGAATGGGTAATGCATAAATGCAGATTCTTCTTTTTTCAGCTCAGAGAAATAGCGATGCAGTTCGTTTTCAAGAGATTCAAGATGCCCAGAAATCGCTTCTTTCAAAATTTTAATTATCTCACAATCAGATTCATCTACCACACCGCAGAGTTTCTCAAATTTACAATATTTCCAAAATTTATTTTGTTTACCGATTTTGCAGCTTTGATAAAAATACCCCGAGATTATCATGCATAGTTATAATATTCGTTCATTTTCCCTGAAGCTTCGGGTTAAGCTTATCTTGATGTTCGAACTCATCTGCTAGGTATGATACTCTCTCCAATCACTCTATGTCGTTTTAAGTATACCAAAAATTCTTGTTTCCTTTGCACTTCCAAGAACAATTTGATTTCAGATTTCAATTCAAAAACACAATTTACAACATTTCGTTTGACAGCCAGCGTACTGTAGTGTAGAAGAGCAGAACCTCGTGATCTATATTAATGTTTTTGCTCAGTTCTTTGAAGGCTACAGATTTTATATAATTTACGACTTATACTAGCAATGGACTCTTGATGTCGATTGGTTAGGTAGTTGTTAGGGAGCTAAATCTTTTCTGTTTTCTTAAAGCCCGATTTTGAGCTAAACATAGATGGCGCACCATCCGTACAAACCCCCACAGCCGTTCTAACCCATTTTAATCATCCAGTTTCAAAAAAGGTATTTATTTTCTCCATGCTATTTTCATAAAAGAGAAACTCTTCTTTGCTATCATCCGCATGAATATAGACACAGACCAGCAACTGCGAACACGAACTCACGTCTGCTGATTTATCAACTTGAAAAGCAAACAATGGTGAAAGCTTAATTTCAATAAAAATGTGTTATTTAACATTTACGCACATGCAGCGTTTGATGAGATTTTCTCCTATTGTTTTTTTTTTTTTTTTTTTTTTGCTTGGCATTTTCTATCGCGACTTCATTTGATGCTTGCACTAATGCTGGTGAAAACTTCATGTTCGATCAAGTCTCTGGCGTTTGCAAGTAGCTTCTTACCGACGAAATAACTCCATATATTTTTTGGTGTGGTCCGAATGACTCGTCTCAAATTACGTTTTAGTTTTGAAGATTTCATAGATTCGTGACTGAGAACAACTTGGTACAGAGCGCTTTGTTTCTTCTCTATTACATTTCCAGTGATGTTAATGAAGCCGAATTTAAAAAATTCTTCTAAATATTTATGTTTTGTTTCAAATTACTAAGGTTTAGTATACCAGTTGGCGACCCCCCAGAAAGACCTTCGCGACCCCTCTGGGGGTCGCGACCCCCAGGTTGGGAACCCGTGTATTACATTGTCCATTCCGAATTGAAATATTCAACTTCACAAAGAAACTAAACCAGCTAAGTGTAAAACAAACTGAAAGGAAAATCTAGCCTATGTCTTGCTTGAAAAGGTGGTTTGTTTCGAAATAAAAATATTGTTTTTGTTGAATACATGATGAGCGGTAAATTACTTAATTACGAAAAATCTGAAAAAAAAATCGTTATGAAACCAATGCTTCTATTCAATCACTTTAGCATTAATATAAACAAAATGAAGGGTGTTTTCACCGAGAGATTTGAGCTATTCAAAACAAATGCAAGTACTCTGACTTACATAGTAGATCCTCTCAACACAAATTCAAATGAGAATATCTCATATATTCAAAGCTATTTATTTTAAATTATATATATATATATACTATTGACATACAAATGTTAGTGGCTCTTTAAAACCCGGGTAATGTTGTAAATTGTAACTTTTGGCTCTTTCGTCTCAAAAGGTTGCCGACCCCTGGTCTAATCTTATCCAAATCTACTTAACTATAGACTCATCTGATAGCAGAGATAAAATAAACTAGATATTTTAAACAGACTATTGCACTTACACTCTGGTTTCTCTTCACAACGTGTAAATCTTTCGCCTTTTACTAAAGATCGATAACCTATCCGCACCATCCAATGATGTTATCTCCTCCCACGATGACTTACGCAAATATAATCACCGCCAGCAAAGGGGTTGCACCCTTGGATGTTCCCCCTGGGTCGAGAAACTTGGGGAGGAGCCACCCGGACTATGGTTCGGGTGGCTTAATGAAATCCTGGGCCCAACCCCTTTCAGCCACAACTGCCATCCTGGATCTAGGTGAAGAAGAATGTCCGGAACTTTACCCTGCTGACTCACCCACTATCCAAGTCACCATCAGCTCAAAAGGCCATCCCAACCTGAGGGGACACGTCTTACGACATCTCATAAGCAAACAACAAATCCTCCTCATCAATTACGGAAGAGCAGACACTTGGTACATTTCCTCAACAGCATTCGATGTCACTACTCTGCACAATACACACAAAATACACGGTCCATACACACTACACTTCACACTACACGAAAAAGACAGAATCAACGGAACCCTTAGATGGGTACCTCCCACACTCAACGATCTCACACTCATACAAGCACTACGGCCCTACAGCAAAAAAGAACAAACCATAAACACAATCCCTCACACCAGTAACAAGACATGGAGCATCCAGAGGCTCGTCACACAGGTCGACTTTTTTTAAAAAATCAGCCACGCAGTAGTTTTTTTAAAAATCAGCCACGCAGTAGTTTTTTTTAGAAATCAGCCACGCAGTAGTTTTTTTTTTTTTAAATCAACTACGCAGTCGATAAGTAAGACTTTGAGAACGCTGCGCACACAAAATACACGTTGCAGGCCACCTTTTCCCCCCTAGAGAGAGCACTGCCCGCCAGCCTCAGTGTCCCATGGGGGAGGTGGAAAGGCTCAGCGAGGCATGGGCGGAGTTAGTTTCAGCTATGTAAGGGCAGAGTTTCTTTCAGGCATTTCCTGTGTGAAGTGGGTGGAGAAGTCCAAGAACCCACACTTAGCCCCAACCCCTCAGACAAAATAGAAAATTGTTTAATGGAGAATATTCTTAATATATACTTGTTTATGACAATAGTCTCCCCCCTCCCCTCTCTGGATTTTTATATGCCCCCACCCCCCTAGAAAAAAAGATCTGAAACAACCACTGTTACTTTGAAAGTTTCAATTCG